ATTCTCTAGCGACTACGTACGACCAATTCGCAGGTTCGAATCCTGCCACCTTTCTTGTGGATCATCCTGTGGTTACCGGATGATGGGAATAAAAAAGCATCAATTTGGAAATGAGCACGAAATGTCAATATATGAATTTTTTCATTATTCGTTTTTTCCGGGTCTTTTCGTTGCATTCACTTACAACAAGAAACAACCACCAGTGTTTGGTGCAGCACCTGCATTTTTTTGTATTCTTATTTCTTTCCTTGGTCTTTCGTTCCGTCATATTCCTAATAACTGATCCAATTACAACGTATTAACCGCTAATTCACCTTTCTTTTATCAAATCTCAGGGACATGGTCTAATCATGAGGGTAGTATTTTATCATGGTGTCGGATCCTAAGTTTTTATGGATTCCTTCTTTGTTACCGGGGTCGACCCCAAAGCCATAATGTCTCAAAACGAGGAGGCCATAGAGAAACTTTTTTTTATTCCTTTGTTTCGAACTTCGTGAAGAACTCTATTCTATCTCTCCCTCGTTACGAACAACAAAGTGGGGCTCCCTTAGTTTCACATAGTGAAACTAAGCAACTTCGTACCTTAGTTTCACATAGTGAAACTAAGCAACTTCGTACCTTCGTTCTACGAACCCTTGTTTATTCTGAACTTCGTTCGCGAAGGAACCGGACTTTTGACGGGCCAGCCCTTTTTTATGCGCCGCTTTACCCTGAAAGGAAAATTAGCTTTGCTCCTCTGGGCGCTAGGCGCTCCCGTGATTCGCGAGAAGGAAAAAGAACTCATCCTTTGTTGCATCTGGCACGAGATGATAAAGAGAGAGCTTCGTCTATCGATGAACAGCGGATTGACGGAGCTCTTGGCATTGCTTTGTTTTTCTCTTCTTTCCTATCAGCGAGTTCCGACCCTTTTGTTAGAAATTTATTCGTTTGTACTGAACCGCTTGCAGAATCAAATCCTGTTCCACAAGATCCTATATCAGCTATACATCCTCCTTGCATTTATGCCGGAGACGTCGCCAGTGCTATGGGCTTTGCCTTATGTAGATCAAAAATGATGAATGGGGTTGTGGCACTCCACTCGCCGCCAATGCGAAAGGATGCCGCCGAAAATAATGTAACACTGTTTCGCTCTGTTGGATGCGTCGGATCCCGCGAGCTCTTTACCATAAAATTGGGCGATCCTGCTTTATTGTTACGTAGCAATAGAAGCCCGCTCATGCTGCTTCGGCGGCGCTTTTTCGCCTTCTCTTCGCTCTGGACAGGAGCGGAAGCCACTCGACTGATATGGAGAGGAGCGCTAGTGGACACGGGGAGGGAGCGTGTCGTTCGTAATGGAACGCCTCTTTGTTGGACCGCCGGCGCGAACACAGTGGTCTCTGACCAGGACCAGGAACCAATTCGAATTTGGATCTTGACATGTCGGTGGTTTTTAACCGTAGGCATTTTGCCAGGAAGTTGGTGGGCTTATCATGAATTAGGTCGGGGTGGCTGGTGGTTTCGGGATCCCGTAGAAAATGCTTCTTTTATGCCTCGGGTATTAGCCACAGCTCGTATTCATTCAGTAATTCTACCCCTTCTTCACTCTTGGACCTCGTTTCTGAATATTGTTACTTTTCCATGCTGTGTCTTAGGAACCTTTTCAATACGGTCCGGATTGCTAGCTCCCGTTCATAGTTTTGCTACAGATGATACACGAGGAATCTTTTTATGGCGGTTCTTCCTTCTAATGACCGGCATATCTATGATTCTTTTCTCCCAGATGAAGCAGCAGGCATCGGTCCTAAGAACCTATAAAAAGGAGATGGTTGTGGCGCGAAGTACTCTTGTCCATTCGGCTCACGCGCAACCCCGCCCCGTTATGTTATGGAATAATTGAACTTCTTGCTGGGCTGGTTATAGCAATTCGTCCCGCAACTAGAATAAGATCGCTTCGGGGGAAGCTGAATGTAGAGCAGTCCGCCCTTACAGCCTTTGATCAGTAGATTCTTTATAACTTCGGAAGATGGTCAAGGTAGCTTGCTTCCAAGCCACTGCACTAGATGCGCATGTAGTCGGCCCAGAATGCCTCTCAATCCATATTTCCATATTTTAAGGGAAAAACCGTAAAACCAAAGGATAAAAGGATATAAGTAAGTGAGTCTAGCAACGTTCTACGACTAAGCCGGAAAGAAGAAGAAAGGCAGACTCCATCAATCAAGGGAAATGGCTCTCAGTTCTGACTAAATTCCCGGACCCGAGGGGGATTCCATTGTTTCAGCTCGAGTGAAAATGCTTTCTGTCGAAAGGTAAATGCTTTAGAAGTTCAATGAATCCGGTGGATGCTTTATTGTGAAATGCTTCCTTATTGATTGACCAAGCAAGAGAGATTCTCTTTTATAACTTTTATAAGTAGAAGAAGCAGTTCTCGTTCTGTTTTCACGAATCCTGTGACCGGTTTCGGCTTTGAAGGAGTAGGCACCGTTGGAGTCAGGGCATTAGCCTTTTCTGCAACCATGTCTTGAAAGATAAGCCAGTCCATGCTTGCTAGAACTATGGTTACGTTTTCAGGGCAGGGCAAAGATAGACTGGAGTAGTTAAGAAAAGAGGGAAGACCAAACAATCGTAGACTTTCAAGCGAGTGAATACCCGGTTTATACCATCGGGGAGGAAAGCAGCAGTTGTTCAGTTCACGAATCAGCAGTTATCTCATCCGCGTAAGGAGATGGAGAGTCAGCCTTTATTCTAAGTAATTTCTTCCATCTATCGGGATATCTTCTTACCGAGGCAGATGCCTCTTTTAAACTTAATAAGATAAGACTTTTGAAGTCTAGACTAGACGAATCTCTTTCGATTGAAGAGCCTGTTTACGGTAAAAAACGGGGATCCGAAACGCTTGTGTTACAGGCCGCGGAAATGCTATTTATTATTATATACAATACATCCTTTTTTGTGCAATTTCTCAGCTAGCTCTCACTATCGGTTTCGTACGTTATCCCCGCTCTACTGGTTGTGTTAGTCCATCCTCCACCCTATACTTCTTAACTTCTTAGTATACGGTTAGGTAGGGAAATCTTGATTTTTCCACCCGCGTCACCATCTATTCTATACTCTTAGATCAGTCGTCGCGGATGAAACCGTTACATATGCAACGCAATTCTTTGGTTGTCCGTACGCTTTCCATCATCATCTGGTCAAATAGGAAGAACGATATAGTGCAGGAGCGCTTAGGCATTTACTAATAACCTCCTTCCTCCCCTCCCGAACTGCTGATGCAATAGCTGCATATCATATTCTGTAAGAAGAAGAATGGTTTCTCTTCCAGCTGCTAAGCACCTCAGAGTGGATTCTTCCATTCTATGTGCGAGGAGCCATCACCTTTACCTTTGACTCCGGGCAAATCAGGGTATTCTCCAACAGTAAGAGCATATTCAATTCCCCGTGCTTCTGATCTCTCTGCTCTTGCTAGCAATGAGATGGACTAGAATACGAGGTGGCAGATGGAAAGCTAGTCTTCACCGGAAATAGTAACTGCCGCAAAAGGGTATTCTGTTGAAAGTTTTCAGTAATCGTCTGCTTATATCTGCTTATAGAGCTTATAAGCTTATAGAAGTAGGATTCATTCTCTTATTCACTCTTATTCAATCAGCCTTAGGGCAAAGAGTTCTTACGTCCCACAGCGGTAATGGCGATAGTATTTAGGGATTGGATTCTTTTTAGAATAACCTGCTCTCTATGCGGGCATATGTTGTATAGTTAGAATATGGGGACAATGGCTGTCAGAGAAAGCTCTATAAAGAAAATAGCCTCCTGGTAATCCGCTAATAGCGTAGTTAGAGATAGCCTTCTTAACGTATCCACAGATAGGCTTATTCGCATGCTCGGGAGCAGGAACTCGCACTTGAAAGAGCTAGATGGACTGGATGTAAGTGAAACCCCCTGCAAACTGGTTTTTCTCCAATCATTGAAACCCTTAGGAATGCCATTACTTCCACGAAAGCTGGTACACTCTTTTTTTTCGTCTACTTTGGACAACTCAGGGCAGGGAATGGCCAATTAATAAAGACTTTGTAGGGAAACCCGAGTTCAACTAGAGTAGCGAACCTGGAAAGCTGGAGTAGAACGCAAACTGGATAAGCGAATAAAGAAATTCCTTCTTGTTCACGGAAGGAAAGAACTTAACGCACATGGGGCTACTCTGGATCTGGATATGGGCAAAGAACGATCGACAGAGTTTACACCAACTACAGACAAGAAAGAGACTCTCTAAGCAGACAGGCAGGCAGCTAACACTAACACAGGACAGATATCTGATATTAGGCTTGGCAAGAGACGCTTTTCTTACACAGATGCCCTTACGACATTGAATCTGCTCACATCTCAGTTGAGCTGCCTGAGCTTGCGTCAATGTTGACCTTGCCCTACTATTGAAGACCTTTACTTTGGATTGATCTTCATTCCCTGCAGGGAAAGGGCTTCTCTCACTCTTACTGGTAATGCTTCTCCGATACGCTTCCTTTACCCATAGTTAACCGTCCTTCTCTGTCCTTTCTTCCCCCTATTCTCTCAAGCCTATCTGACTATCTGATCGTTAGCCCAATTCCCTATCTCCCTATTATATCTCTTGGGCTTTTCCCTGAGCTCATGCGAATCAAGAAATCTCGTCAGAGATGGAATCACCTGCGCTTGGATCCCATCTGTCTAAGACAAATATAGCTTCAAGGGCTGCCTCGCAGGCAGCAAGAATCGATAGGAATTACTTTACTGCCCCGGACGTCCCACATGAGTCGAACCGAGAGAGACTGGGAAACTCTGAGAGGTATTAGCCCGATTATTTAGAATGGGTCTCGGTTCGTTGGGAACTCAACGAAGGTAAGACGAAGTTCACTCGAATAAGCCTGTGTGTGCCGGGTAGAAGTAGGGACAGCGAAGTATACTGCGATGTGGCTACCCTCTCAGCTCTCATATAAAAATATACAAATAAAGAAATAAAAGGTCTAATTAGGCTACTGAGGCCTTATGCTTAACACATGCGAGTCGAACACGCTCGGTAAACAAAGGTCGACCGTGATTTTCTAATCGAAAGGCTAATTCGCGATAGACAAGGGGGCGAGACGTGGGGGTCTTGGAAGAATTGGGTTCGAGTCCCATAGCCCCGGTGTGGAGAATGATTCAACGATATATGAAATGCCTGCGATCTATGAGAAAAAGAGTAAAGAAAAGATTGCTCTACGAACAAACAACGCGTACTACTACTACAGTTAATGAAAACCCATCAGTGGAAGTGGACGAAAGCCTGAGTGCATTGATTAAAGAGATAGAGGCCCCTACCTTATCCCCATCCCCGCAAACGCAGAATATGCCGCCATTCAATTCGAATGTTCCCCATTCCAATTCTTCATCCGAAATGTCATTCTCATCAAATATTCATTCCATTCTTTCTCCTTCCACGGAAAGACAAGTATGTGAAACCCAAGGAAAGATCGAAGAAGAGGTGTCAAGCATTGCGATTCGATTTGGACGATGAGGCCCCATATGTTGGGTGCACGGGGAAGCATCGGATCTATAAACTTTAAATTCTATTCTGCAAAGTTTGCGCGAAATGAAAGAAAAAAGTGAGTGGTTTGAGAGTGCTG